TTAAAATTATCCAAAGATCAATTAAGGAACTGGCAGCATGAAGACATGAGACTGGAGGAGATTTGGCTTAAGACGGTTCCCGAAGGAATCACCAAGGAGGGAGAAATGAACTTTGAGCTGAGAGATGGAATATTGAATTGAGTGAAACAAACAGAACGGGGGGAGGAGATGCAACTGGTGATACCTGAGAGGCTCAAGGGACTAATTATAGAGCTTGCCTACGACGTGCCACTAGCTGGACTTTTGGCTGTGGAAAGGCTTTAGCCAGGGTGCGGCAAAGATTTTTCTGGCAACTCGTGGCTAAAGAAGTGGAGGACTATTGTTCATGCCCCGAGTGTCAAATTATTCATCCGAAATCCAGACGTGGGGGAGAGTTGATACCTATGCCTCTGGTAGACAGAATGTTTGACCGGATTGCTTTGGACATATTGGGACCAATGGTGAAATTGGCAGGGGGGCATCTGTACATTCTAGAGATAATTGACTATGCCACACGGTACCCTGAGGCCATCCCCTTACGCACCACAACCGCAAAGGTGTTGGCCAAAGAACTGATAGGGATATTTTCCAGAATGGAACTCCCCAGGAGGATCAAATTTCATGAGCTTAACTTTTAAGCAAATGTGGGAGTTGTTAGGAGTAAAGCCAATGAAGACCTTTATCAATCATCCACAAGTGAACGGCTTAGTGGAAAGATTCAATAGGACCCTGAAGGGGATGCTCTGAAAACTGGTCCAAGAGAAGCCCAAGCAGTGGCTTATGTTTCTGGCCCCAATGATGTTCGCAGTGAGGGAAGGCCCACAATTGTCAGCAGGGTTCTCACTTTTTGAGTTACTGTATGGGAGGAACCCCAGAGAACTTTTGGATCTCCTTAGGGAGAAGTGGGAGGAAAGAACAGACCTCTCCAAGCCAGTGTTGCAACAGATCATGGATCTGAGGGAGAGTTTGCACACTGCTTGGGACCTAGCAAAGGAAGTGCTAGAAGAAGTGCAAGAGGGTTAGAAAAGCAGGTATGAAAAACGAGTAAAACCCTGGGAATTCGTACCAGGTCAGAAGGTTCTGGTCTTGTTCCCCACAGAATTGGCTAAATTGTTTGCTAAATGGCAGGGGCCTTACGAGGTGACCAGGAAAATTAGCGAGGTAGATTATGAGGTGAATGTGGTGAATAAGAAAAAGAAACTTCAAGTACTTCACGTGAATTTGCTGAAACCTTGGGTAGACAGGGAATCAGTTTATGCGGATTGTAAAGAGGAAGAACTGCGACCTGAGGTGCGAAGTGAGGAGGGAAAGAAAGAATCATAGGTGCTTATCAACAACAGCATAGAACCCCAGCAAGTGAACCAAATATGTCAATTAGAGGAGGAAATCTCAAATGTATTCTCCTCCAAACCTGGGTGTATACACTGGGTGGAACATAGCATTGAAACCACAGCTGGGATGGTAGTACGAACAACCGGACGGTCCTGGACACGGCAGTTGACTCATGTAATTGAACAAGAAGTAGCTGAGAAGCTAAGCTTAGGGGTCATCAAGCCAGCTAGAAGACCCTGGCATAGCTACCTGGTTGTTGTGCCTAAGCTAGACAGGTCAGTGAGGTTCTGCATCGGAAAGTCAGTGTGGTCCCCAATTCGAAGTGAGCCCAATGCCAAAGGTGGGAGACTTCCTAGAAAAGCTGGGAGGTGCCTGGTATCTCATCTTTAGACCTAATCTAGGGATACTGACAGATCACTTTAAGGGACCAGGATAAAGTAAAGAAAAATTTCTCTACCCTCAAGGGTCTTTTCCAATTCACAAAAATGCTTTTCAGGCTGTATTGGGCACCAGTACAGGACTCTGTGGCCATCTACATAAACAACATCATTATATACAGTTCTTCTTGGGATGAACACTTAGAACACTTGCACAGAGTTTTAGAGGAGTTGAGGAGGGCCGGATTGACCGCCAACCCTCGTAAATGAATGATAGTCTCCCCCCCCCAAGTAGAATATATGCGATTCACCTTAGGGAGAGGTGAGATTCAACCTCAGGAAGAAAAATTCACTAAGATGACCCAATGGTACTGACCTCGTACTAAGAAGGAGGTTCGGCAATTTTGGGGCTAGTCGGGCATTACCGCCAATTCGTACCCTAATTCTCCACCATAGCTGCATCCTTAACTGATCTTACTAGAAAAAGGGTGGGACGCTGGGTACAATGGGGTGAAGCCCAGGAGAAAGCATTTCAGATGCTCAGATCAGTGTTATGTGAACTATCAACAAGGTTTGCCCCAGATTTTAACCTGCCCTTCGTGTTGTTTGCAGATGCTTCCATTCAAGGGCTGGGTACAGTATTAACACAGGTGCGTAATGGGGTAGAGTATCCTGTCCTCTACCTGAGTAGGAAATTGATGGTGAGGGACCAAAAATATGCAGTTATCGAGAAAGAATCTTTGGCGATTCGATGGGCTACTCAGCCTTTAAGATACAGTGGTGCCTCACTAGACAGTTACCCCGCATGACAGTTTTTTTGCTAGACATTGACTTTTTGTGATTGTGATAGAGATTCGCAAAACAGTGATTCCTATGGGGAAATTTCGCTGCACAATGTTTGGTCCCTGCTTTACAAACCGATTTTCGCTAAACAACGATTTTGACAGCTTCCTCCGCACTCGCAGAACAGGTGTTTTCGGGACCTAAGCTTCGCAAGACAGTGATTTAAACAGCTGGTCGGGGGTTCACAAAGCAGCTTTCCTATGGCCAATCTTCGCTAGACAACAACGATTCTTCCCCCTTGGAATGCATTAAACAGGTTTCAATGCATTTCAATGGGGAAATGCTATTTGCTAGACAATGATGTTACTAAACAGCGATTTCAGTGGAATGGATTATCATCGTCTAGCGAGGCACCACTGTACTGCCTATTGGGAGCTCCCTTCACCCTGATAACCAACCATGAACCATTACAATGGCTAGTGCAGATGAAAGACACTAACCCCAGACTCACTCGATGGTACTTAGCCCTTCAGCCCTTTGCCTTCACGGTTCAGTTTCAGAAGGGGAAAGAACATTCTAATGTGAAGTATTTCTCCCGGCAGGGTCCCTGGGCAATGAGAGAGGAGGAATGGATGGCCATCTCAGATGGGTGTGTGTGAGAGAGACTGGGGGTAAGAGCAGTACTCTTCTCACTGGATTGCCATTCCCTCCCCCTCACCGCAGAAAATAAGGTACAGTCTATGCCCATCTCTCCCCCTAAGAAAATGGAGCAGAACCAGGAAAAGTAGAGAGAGGAATATGAAAGCTGATAGTTGAAAGAACTGGAGAAAAAACAGCAGGAATAGAGCGGAAGCTGTGGGTGGAGATAGAAATAGGGGTAGCAGATATAAGAAGAGGGGGGAGTACAGTGGCCACCAGGCTGGGAGTGGGTCTGGATGGAGGACCCCTGGACCAGAGCATGGGAGAGACTAAGGGTTCTGAAAGAGGAAGCAGATTACAGGAGGAGAAAAGAGATACCACCCTGACCCTCGTATTGAGAAGAGGCTGAAGCTAGGGAGTGGAGGAGAAGATTAAGAGAGGAGAAGGAGAAGGGAGAGAGAGAAAGAAGAGAAAGACTCAAATGGAGGGTGAGAGAAATGAGGATGAGGGGATTCCAGGGGGACCCTGAAAGGCACACCAACCCTCCTGGGACCCCTTGTGTATGGGAATCCACTATGATGACACTGTGCCCCTGTTGGAGGGCGAAGCAGGACAGGCACTGAACCCGAACCTATCTTTGGACTGGCCAGGACCATGGAACTCGGGTGAAGGAAACCCTTTTCTGAATGAAGATTGGAAACCCCTTACTGACCCGTTGTCAGAAAGAGAAAAATGTTGGACTAATTTTGTTGGTACTGGTTATTTGTTAAATATCCCAATAAACGTTATACCTGTTTCAAAAGAGAGATTTTTAAATGGATTGTTGTGCTTTGTGGTTTTAAATTTGTGTAGTATTTATTTTACTTACTGCTTTTAATGTAATATTTATTTAATGTACTTTTTAATATTTGTATTCTTACTGTTTTTTGCTTTTAAATATTGTCTTTTTAATGAAGTAAGCCACCTTGGGTCCATTTTAATGTGAAAAGTAGGCAAAATATTTCAAAGGGAAAAAAAGAAAAAGAGTGACCTTCTTCAATGGAAAAATTTAACCCTTAAACCAAACTCATTAGATTTTTTTTCTTCGGCATTGAAGCAGATCTGAACATGGAATGGACTCTTCAGAATTGGGGAGGTTTCCATTTTACCTAGTTTAATTTCACAGGAATTCTCCAGGTCATGTTTGGAAACCGTTAAGTCCCACATTGTTTGGCACAATTCATGTTAAAGCAGAGTTTGAACCCATATCCAATACTCTACATCTGGGGTTTTAAAGATTTTTTTTATGTTCTATATGTACACATCTGCTGAAGGAACCACAATCATTTGCCTTGCGACCCCTGCACATAGTTGTATTTATAAATAAAGTGTCAGAGTTCTCTTTCACACCTCACAGTACTAATGACTGAAAGGTTTTAGGGTGACACCTTGATCCCTCAGAGTGCCACTGGGCGCAGAAGTTGAATGTCCTGGTGGGTGGAGAGGTGCCCTCCACAATTACTCATGACAAATTTAAAATCATTTTCATTGAAGTGTTTGTATGCAATTTTGCATATAGCTACAGCATGTGGAACAAAGTTACAGCTGTTTTTCAATGCATAGTTTTCAAAAGGATATCACATAATACAATGGCAAAAAATGCCCTAAATTCAGTTACTCCTCTCAATTAGAAACAATTCTAATTTTCACTAGAGGAGACCCACGGGATGAACACGGACTTGGTGAGACAACACTTAAATAAGTTCCATTGATTCAACTGGTTTACTCAGGTTCAGATGAAAATTAGGATTTTGGCCATGATTCTTGCATTTTGGGAATGAGAAACAGCAGGATAGATGAATCCCTTTCCCCTTTCATAACCACAGTATCCTGTGGTTCACTGACTGCTAACTACCTCATTATATTGCTACACACTTTCCTCTGGACAACTCCCAAGGCATCCTTCACCTCCTTATTTCTCAGGCTGTATATCAAGGGGTTCAGCAGGGGAATGACAATTGTGTAAAAGACAGAGAGAATTTTGTCACTCACATCTTCGATAAATGATCCATTCGTAGGCTTAGGCCGGAAATGCAAAATGAGGATAGAACCATGGAAGATTGTAACAACCGTCAAATGTGAGGTACAAGTGGAGAAGGCTTTGAGTCTTCCTGTGGTTGGGCTGATCTTCACAAAGTTGACAAGAATATATACATAAGAAATCAGGACACTCAGCAAAGTGGTGGCTTCTACAAGTCCCGCAACATAAAAAATCAGGAGTTCATTCATATAGATATCAGAACAGGACAGTGATAGAAGAGTTGTGATGTCACAGTATAAATGATTGATCTCATTGGACTGGCAAAATGGCAATTGGAACGTGAAGACAGTGTGGAGAAGAGAATGCAGAAGCCCAAGAACGTAGGAACCTACCACCAGAAGAATACAGACTTTGGGGGACATGAGGACTGGGTAGAGCAGTAGTTTACAGATAGCTGTGTAGCGGTCGTATGCCATTGCAGCAAGGAGAAAGCACTCTGCACTTCCTAGACCTATTACAAAATACATTTGCATTGCACACCCCATAAAGGAAATAGTCTTTGTCTCTGATACAAGGTTTGCCAAGGACTTAGAGGTCACCACAGAGGAGAAGCAAACATCCAGCAGGGAGAGATTGCTGAGAAAGAAGTACATTGGGGTGTGGAGATGGGGACTGATCATGATTAAAGTGATCATTCCAAGATTTCCCACCAAAGTGGCAATGTAGAAAGTCAAGAACACTAGAAAGAGGATGATTTGCAGTACAAAACTGTTTGTTAAATGTACAAATACAAACTCATTGATAATGGTGCTGTTGTTTCCTTGTGTCGTTGCACCCAGGACACTCCTTCCCATTCCTGCAACCCAAAGAGGTGAGAAAGTTAGACCAGTGGATTCTCCAAAACACACATCACCAACCTATGGTCTTCATGACCAGTGGCTATGAGGATGTTCCTTTGCTGAAACACTACACAAATTTATGAAGGATATCTGGGAACCAAAAAAAAGGAAAGAGTATTGGACTGAGACTTAGGTACATCAAGATTCTTGTCATCATGGAGCTGTGAAATTTTCTTGGTGACCTTGAACTAAGTACTGTTTCAGCCTCACTCACCTCACAGGGTATTGTGAAGATACAGCAGGAGGAAGGAGATCAATATGCTACACCTTGAGTTTTAGCGAGGGGAGAAATGTAGCTAATATAAACCTACAATATAACTAATTGACAAGTTAACCAACCAACCAGCCAACAAAGGAATCAGAGGAAATTGTTTGGCTATTCACCAACACTACATCGTATAAAAGGTATCCCTCCCACTGACAGAATCTAGGGGTAAAGAAGAAGGGCTGCTTTCTCCCATCTGTTTTTTCCCCCAAGCCTGCAAAGTAATGAGAATAGAAAGACTACAAGTCACCGAACACCCAACAGAAAGCCTATGTGTTAACCCCAGCACCTGATAAGGGGAGATACACCAGAAAGCAGGGTGAGCAGTCATGCATCACCAAGAAAGAGGGCAAAAAGTTAATAGGTGCATAGATGGGCGAGCACAGAAATAGCTTCAATAGAAGTATGATGTATTTCACCATAAGAGGAGGCATGGATCACATGACCTGTGTACCTGCAATCTGCTGTCTTGATGCTTATGGTTACAAAGCCCTTGTCTGCTCCTCCTTCTCTTTGTTCTTCATCTTAAAATGGGACTTGGATGGGACAGCCCTTCAAAGAGAGGACTCCCTTTCAGACAGTAGGGCACTGGACACCCAAGTGCAGATTGCTGATTGGCTCAAGACCTTTGCCTTCTCTCCCCAAAGCAGTTGCTCAGCTTATGAATACACTAACAAAAACCATTAGGTGCTGAATTATCACAGAAATGCAAATGCTCTCCTGCAGGTTCTATGTAAATATATAAATGCTACATTAAGATGAAATCTGAAAAAGGTGGATAGCCTGTCAGAGGAATGGGAGGGGTCAATTGGTTTCAAAATCAGCATTAACTGCCGAAGAAGAGGACCTTCTCCCTATCCCCATTCTGCCAAGTAACAGCCACATGCTAGCTCCCCCCTGTAGGTATCTGTACTTACTCTTAATGGGAAACTGGGTGCTAGATGCCAGTGTCAAAGGAAATTCCACCAGCAAGGCTGAATTCCAGAAAAAAAAGAAGTCATATGAGAGCTAACACATTTATCATTGCATTCACTCAAACAAGCATGTACCATTATGAGATAAATAAGATGGTACCATATAAATATATACTATACACACATTTATGGAGCTGTTTTCCTTGGCAACACAGACGGCATTTCTCCAACCTCTATGGCCTTAGGGAGCTTCTCAGGATCCTTCATCCATCTCTTGGGAAACTGATACACTCTCAAAGACTCCTATGTCTTTTATGCGCAGCTGCTATCACTATTATTATTAGGAAATAATGTAATCCTGTAAAAATAATAGAAGTGACCAAACCTGTCACCAAAAGGAAGCTTGCTTGTTATCACAGCTGTAATAAGCCAGAAAGTTGTCATACAAAATAGAATGAACCTTGTTGCTACACACAGAAATACCAATAACAAAGGGCATGGCTTTAAGCAAAGCTGTGCTATCTATAGTTCAGTTTCAATATCACCCTCATAACTGGCAGTCATTCACCAGAATTTCAAGTAAGAATCTTTTCCAGTCTTCTTGGATATCCCTGGGATTAAAGCTAGTAGCCTCTCCATCAACACAGCTTCTGCCATTGTGCAATGAGTTGCTCACCTTTACTGACAAATTAGGAATTTTGGAGGCTAGATGTTTAGATGTTCATCTGAGCTAGTTTGGGGCCTTATTCTCGGAATTTAGACTGCAGCTCCCAGAATTCAAGAAGCGAGCTCTTTCTTTCTTTCTCTTATTTTAAAACTTGGTATCAGCACTAGAACTAAGGCTGTGATTAGACAGGAGCTTCTCCTGCAATGTGGTCTGGGTTGGGGATAGTCTAGTTAGCGTCTTTTGTTTATATTTTTGCTTATAGGTAAAACCAAGGCGATAAAGTAAACAAAGCCACTGCTAAACGGCAACAACCATCACTTAGAAGTGGGGGTTAGCAGTGCTTCCTAGCAAGTTAAATAGACAATATTTAGAATATATAGTTTGCCTCCTAGCAAGATCTGACACTATCAAAGGCCTTGCTATAGTCTATAAAGCATAGGCTGATCTTTTGGAAAGGAAGGCTTGTATTATCCTGAACAGGAGCAGTTGTTTGAAAAGTGGAGGTTTCAGGCAAAGTCCTTGTTACGGTAGCTTGGAAGCCACCTGTCCATCATTGCTGTAGAGGCATGTCATCTGCCAATAGCATGACGGAAGGTGGGACTTAAGGGGTGGAGCCAATGTATATAAGGGGAGTGAATGGGTGTGAGGGCTTTAGATAGGGACTGGTTAGGGTGTTAGGGTTTGTTCCTATTGTGAAGAACTGTGCTATATAGTGAGGGTCTGTGAGAGAGTGTGTGAGTGTGTGGTACTTTATTAGTTATTGCCTTATTATTTGATTTATTAAAGTGATTTACCATTTCTTTTGTTGTAACCAATAAACACAAGTTTTTATTTTCAAAATCATTTATTAGTCTGAAGAGTCATTTGAGGGAATGGTTGGTGGCAGCGTGAATAGAGTGAGTGTGTGAGAGTGACGTGGCACCTCCTTTGTGACGTGTGAGGAGGCTGTCACAATAAAACTGGTGTCCAGCGGCAGGATACGAGTTGTCCAGTAAAGCCTTGGCCAAAGTGACCAGAGCAAAGGCACCTGAAATGGAAAGCGTGGGTTACCTTCTAGGATTTGGCTCACAGGGAGCAAATCTAGTAGATGTGCGCTATAACTTCAGTGTGTAAACTGAGAGTGTCCTTGTCCAGCTCTGTGGTGTCCATTTTGTGAGGGAGAGTGACCCAAGGCAAAGGCTGTGGTG